ATCTTCATTCTACGCCATCCACTCCCCTCCTTGTCGATGTCCCAAGTTTTCACCACTGAAATCACCGGCTTCCCCCATCTTCTTCCTCCCCGTCGCAACTGCCACACCCTCTCCTCCCTCCACCCACTCATCTTCTTTTTTGTGAGTTGTTCAAAATTTCAATTTGTTGAGATTTGATTTTCGTTGAGGGATGAATATGGGTTAATTCTTTCTCCGGCTTTCAAAATTGGGAAATTCCTTCAGCTTTCATATTTAAATTAAAAATTTATGTGGAATTTTAGAGTCGGATCTTTGGTTCAAATTTGATTTTCACGTTTTCCCATCTCTATTTTCTAATGCAAATCAAACGGAAATACATAATTTTCAATCTTTCATCTAAACATCAAAAAAGTCAAATGATTTCTAAAAAAACTCATTTTCCATAAATCATTTTCCAAAAGTCACTTTCTTTTCTGCAAACAAACCCTTAGGGACAAATAAAAGTAAAAAAGGTATTGAAAAGGTTGAAACCATAACAACCAAAAATACATGTTCTACACGTCATATTTGGGGATTGTTTGGATAAGTAGCATGCCTGAAAATAGAGCATGATAATAAAAGTGGCCAACAAGAGCACATATAAATCAACTAAAGGGAAAAGAGATCATAAAAGTCATGTTTATGACATATAATACTACTCATGTATAATAAAGATACGTAATTAAAGTAATTCTTGGAGTACAAAACACTCAAAAACTTAAAGGGAAAGACACAGTTCATTTCATCCAAGAAACAAAATTCTTCAACCAAATATCAAAACACTGCTTGGATGGGGTGATGGTTCACGTCAACAAACTAGCATTGTAGAATCAGGATTAAAATAAAAATGACACGATTTGGAGGGGGGGAAAACAATGACCGGAAAACACAATCTTAGCAAAATTACTGGTCACCCGGCATGCTCTTGAGAATGTCGGAATCACCTGAAAACAAACCATTGGTTAGAAACATACATTATATTCAAAAAAGCATTTAAGTAATGTCATAGGATTATCTTTGTGGTTTACATCATACTAGTTTTCTACCCCGTGCTACGCACGGGCTTGGTATTAAGGCTCGGTGTCATTATCTTATAAGGTTGTGTATGTTTTGGTTTTGTTGGATTTTGAAATGCTAGATTGTAGCCTTTTGTTTTGTGGAATGTGAAGAGTGATATTATTGTAAGGGGGTTTGAATTTGACGTTGGTTGTTGAAGAAGTTTTTTTTGTCCTTGTCTAAGATGTTCGTTTTGGCATTGTTCGTTTAGTTTGGTATATTTTGTTAGATGTTTTTTGTATGTGTTAACATTATGAAGTTAGTAATCAAATTAGAACATCGAATACATGCATAGAGAGAGGTAGAGAGGTAGTAAATTTTTTTGAAATGTGTAATATGGAATTAAGAGATATTTTTTTTGAACCGAATGCAAAATAGTATTAAACACAAAAACCTTGTACACAACAATCCATATAAACAAACATCAGGGATGGACAAAACAACAAACAAAAACTTAGTCTCTATAAAACTCCTTTAGCTTGCATGAATGTGTGAGTATGATAAGTAATCCATTGTGTTGCTTCTTCAGCTGTTATATTAATGTTCTTGTGTATTCTCCAATTCCTGGCCCTCCATAATGCGTACACACTTGCTGCAAAATAGGCCATCATCTTCCACCTTCGTTTATTGGGTTTGATCTTACTTAGGTTCTCTAGTATCTCTTTCCATGTCCCCCCCTTGGATTGTATACCCACTTCTAGCTGATACTTGCTAATATATCCCTCGAGCATATTTGCATTGGCAAAAGAGATGTTGACAGTCCTCCCTTTCATCACAAAACATACAAGTTGTATCAATGGGAAAAAATTTGCTCAGTCTTAGCTTTGTCTGTAATCTATGCTTGCAGATGAGCCACATAATAATCTTATATTTTGGTATGGAATATTTGTTCCATACAGCAGCAGTCCAGTATGGTTCCCTTTGATGCCCTTGGATCCATGTGTAGCCCTGATCTGTGGAATATTGTCCACTCCTTGTCATCCCTGCA